CGATGTAGCAACAATCATGTTCAAAAATTATCCTCTTGTCTTTGCCACACATTTGACTAATCGAAAACAGATTATGCTTAAGACCTTTTACTAACATCACATTTTCAATGCATGGATCTGAACCAACTGTTCCTCTTCCTATTATGTCGGCAGAATTATTGTCACCAAAAAATACCTTACCACCTTTACCTTCTTTGAGAGTGGTGAATAGGTTTCGATTTCCCGTCATGTGGTGTGAGCATCCGCTGTCTAGTATCCATTCAGTTGCCTCCATGCTCACTTGGAAGCAAACCTCGTTTGAGTTACGTCTCTCTGATGGCTCTTCAACATCAATTGCCATGTAGCTTTCTTCTCTTGTTTCCTCTCCATCCTCATCTTCTTCTTCGCTACAGCTCCATGTTGCATCCATGGCTCGTTCTTTTCTTGCTAGAGGGCATTCAGCCTTGATATGCCCAGTTTTTCCACATCTAAAGCATCCGGTAGTGTTTTGAACTTTAACCGGCTGAAGTTGTTCAATCCTGCTTTTGTGGAAAGTTCTTGATTGAGGATATTTTGATGTACCACCTTCTTTCTCAACTTCTCTATTCTTGTTGATGAAGTTTCCTCTTCGTTTTTCTCTTCTCACTCGAAGTAGTCTACTAATTTGTTTGCTTAGTAGAGCCAGTTCTTCATCCTCCATATCATCGAGATCTTCTGTGTCTTCATTGTATGTGGTAGCCTTGAAGGCTATCCCCTTTTTCCCTTTATCATTATTTCCCTTGTTGAGCTTGTCTTCATGAGTTGCTAATGACCCGATGAGTTCATCTATAGCTAACTTCTCTAGGTCTTTAGCTTCCTCTATTGCAGTTACCTTTGGAGTCCATTGCTCTGGGAGACTCCATAAGATTTTTCTAACCAGATTTCCACTTTCATATGATTTACCAAGATTCTCCAGACTGTTCACGATGTTTGTGAAACGCTCGTACATTTGCCGTATCGTTTCTCCTTCTTCCATTTTGAACAACTCGAATTGCTGTTTTAAGGAATTAATTCGAGATGTTTTGACTTGAGAGGTACCTTCATAAGTAACCTGGAGTTTATCCCAAATTTCCTTAGCAGTCTTGCAACCGGCAACTTTGTTATATTCTTCTGGACCGAGTGCACAATACATGAGATTAGTTGCCTTGCAGTTTTGATGAAATTTCTCAAAGTCCTCGTCTGTCCATTTTTCTTGATCCTCCTTGAGCTCATACGAACCCTTGATTACTCTAGCCCAGAGTTTTGGATCTGTGGATCCAACAAATAATTCCATACGATTTTTCCAATATCCATAATTAACTCCTTCAAACCTGGGAGGCCGATTTTGAGAGAATCCGTCAGCCAAATAGAGTGGAGCATTATTCTTGGAACCCGACGCCATTTCGATTAGCACCGGAGGTCGTTGAACCTTATTCTACGGTGACCGTGCTCTGATACCACGTGTTGGTTGCGTCGAGCGCGAGACTTTTATACCTGTCTTGAAACAATCTTACTCACGAAACAAGAGTTAGTATGATTATTAACCCTAATTTATTTTCCAGCCTAACTAATTTAAATCTCACTTAGTTTGTGATAATGTCAAAACAAATATAAACCCACCAACTTTCTTGGAGTAACAATCCTATTGCTACACAAGCAAACTCACGGGTTCTTAAAACCAGTGGGCCTGAGAACTTTAAAGCCCACACGCAGAACCTAATGTACTCTCCTGGGCTTGTAATCCCTAAAGCTTAGATGAGACCCGAAAGGCCTGCCCCGGTTAATCTCTTGTTCCGGCCCAGCTGCTAAATGAATGAATGCAAAGGACTGTGTTTTAAAGACAAAACAGATATGTCTACCCAATAGCAACTTTCGATCAAAAAGACCCCTGTTTTTTTCGAATGAGGAACAGAGTAAGAACAGCTATAGTGCAGCAATTAAAATCCAGGCAGAAGTGAACTCAATTAAAACAAACCCAGCCACAGCGAATTCCCAACTTAGTTCGGCCGAGTCGTCTTCCTGAACTCTCTTGGAACGAGCTCACCTGCAAAATCAAATCAGGAACAGACACGAGCAGAAGCATAAACCAGACTGGGAAATGATAAACAAAGTAAGGACCCAGCACACGATTTTTACTTGGTTTCCAGTATAGGGAGAATAAAGATCCCTATACTGACTACTCCACGGTCGGAGAATCACGATCGTGTGATCTCCGACGATTCACTATGATTTTGCGTTGAAGTTCGTCGTTACAAACTATCTACCCAAGAACCCTTTGAACAATCTCAACCCGATTGATCAAACACACTCTTCACAAACCCGAATTGCTTCCCCAGCAACTCGAAACCAGTGTTTCCCCAACACTGACCCTCAAAGAAATTCTCCCCGAACCCTTTGAGAAAACCCCCTTTCCTATCAACCTTGCTACTCTCACAAAATCCCCTTTTGTCTTAGCTAGCTTTGTTGATCTCTTGAAAGGTTGCCATTGGTGGTTCTTCAGGTCGCCTTTTATAGGGAGGAATATGACCGTTAGTCATTCAAATTCCTTCCCTATTTGTGATGATTTGATTGAGAACTCAAACCTCTAATTTGATTTGTAGTGAGTTGGTCATTTGAGCCTCATTGTGCACTGTTGTATCCATTCTTCTTGATCTGATTTCTTCTCTAACTTTTCAACCGTTAGAACCTTCCTTCTTTGTGTTGATTTGCTAGGTGGCAAATCAGCATCTTTGAGCATAGCTAGCCATTGAGAAGTTCTTTCCTTTATTGTTCTTGCTGATTGCAGAATCTCTCCTCCTTTATGCTGTCTTTGATTTTCTTTCCTTTACTTACAAGATTGCATCATTTTCCTTCTTTGATTGAGGCCATTGATATGCTTGACTCAACACGGTCACCGGGTCAAATACCTTAGGTCACCTTTGGGTCACTCCGGCCACCCCGGGGTCAAATAACTTGGGTCACCTTGGGGTTACTCCGGCCACCCCGGGGTCAAATACCTTGGGTCACCTTGGGGTCACTCCGGCCACCCCGGGGTCAAATACCTTGGGTCACCTTTGGGGTCACTCCGGCCACCCCGTGGGTCAAATACCTTGGGTCACCTTGGGGTCACTCCGGCCACCCCGGGGTCAAATACCTTGGGTCACCTTGGGGTCACTCCGGCCACCCTGGGGTCAAATACCTTGGGTCACCTTTGGGTCACTCCGGCCACCCCGGGGTCAATTACCTTGGGTCACCTTTGGGTCACTCCGGCCACCCCGGGGTCAAATAACTTGGGTCACCTTGGGGTCACTCCGGCCACCCCGGGGTCAAATACCTTGGGTCACCTTGGGGTCACTCCGGCCACCCCGAGGTCAAATACCTTGGGTCACCTTTGGGTCACTCCGGCCACCCGGGGTCAAATACCTTGGGTCACCTTGGGGTCACTCCGGCCACCCCGGGGTCAAATACCTTGGGTCACCTTTGGGTCACTCCGGCCACCCCGGGGTCAAATACCTTGGGTCACCTTTGGGTCACTCCGGCCACCCCGGGGTCAAATACCTTGGGTCACCTTGGGGTCACTCTGGCCACCCCGGGGTCAAATACCTTGGGTCACCTTTGGGTCACTCCGGCCACCCCGGGGTCAAATACCCTGGGTCACCTAGGCTACCTTGGGCTCTCCGCCCACCCCAGGTCACCTCAACCTTTAGCCACGTACCCCCGCAACGTGTCCACCGACCAAACCACCAAGCACTCGAAAGAGACACGTACTCCCTTCATGTTCGCCTCGGAACCTCTATAAAAGGCCACTTCGTCTCCAGATTGAGGTAAGCAAAAATTCCCCATGCCTAGACTCGTAAACTCGCGCTATGATTAGCGCAGATATTCATTCTCAACTCCATTCCCTCATCTTTCTTTTCGAGGTCATATTCCTCTCCACTCAACACCCTCACTAACTTGAGCGTCGGAGAGTGTCCCCGCCGAGATCGGCCGGCGGACCCTTTTTGTAGGAGACGACCGGAGCTAACATCACGAGTGAAGTTCGAGGTGAAAGGTGGCCGTTGACCGACTCCGGTGCCCAGCATAAAATATTCGACGTCGGCTACAACCCCGGCATCAACACATGAATTCTAGAATTACATGGTGCACCAAAATCATGATATCTGTCCAAAAATGAAACAAGAAAAACAGTGAAATCACAGATATCATGTAATCTTGAAATCTGTGGGTAGATTACATGCTTACCAAACGACCTTAGGTACTGTTGTTGGATTTGCCTAGTAGGAGGGTTACTGAATCGCTAAACCGCTACATGGAGATTGGAGAGTAGTGAGTAGAGGTGGCAATTGGATCGGATTCGTGGATTCGTGGATTGGATTGGTGGATCCATGGATCAAATGGATTGGATCCAATGGATCGGTGGATTCATGGATTGGATCAAATGGATTGGCGGATTGATCCATCAATCCAAATGACATCCATGGCTTGGACCAAAATGTAAAATTTGAAAAGTTTTGGTACTAAAATGTCATAATGAAAAATTTTAGGTACCAAAATGTAATTTTCCAATTATATTTTTCGTATAAAAATATAAATTTTAGGTACCAAAATATAAAAAATATAGGTGCCAAATCGTAATTTGCCATTTGGATCCATGGATTGATCCATGAATCCACCAATCCAATTGGATTTGGATCAAATGGATTGGATTTAAATGGATTGAATTAGGTGGATAATTTGGTAGATGGATTGTATTGGATTCATGGATTTGGATCCTAATTACCACCTCCTCTAGTAGTGAGTGACACGGCTAGCCCGGCCCAGCCCACAGAATGAATTGGAATGGCTGGGGACTGGAATCCTAATCCGATAAGAAATAGCAGCCACCGGCGGTGTTCCTAACGGACTAGGAAATTTCGTCAAAATTTAACAAATAAATAGAGGGACGTGCGATCTGTCGATGACCACAAAAAAAAAAGTCCTTGTACAGTTCCAGCGGCGTTAATCAATCCAAACCAAACCAAACCATGGCGCACCGGGATCTGCGTCTTCTCCCTTGCTCCTCCTCCTCGGCAGGGAAACTACGTCGAGTCTCGAACCCTCCTCCTCCTCCGATCAGCAAACTGGTAGGCGATCTTCTCTTAGAAGTTCTGATTCGCGTCCCGGACCCGAGGTCCGCCTTCCGCTGCAAACTGGTCTGCAAGCGGTGGAACTCCCTGATCTCACAACCCTATTTCAATCGCCGTTTCGTCTCTCATCACCAGAGGATGAACCAATCTCTGCTTATTCCCTCACAGGATCGCGAATCCGTGATCTTGAGCTTCCTCCCCATGCCTGGTTATTTTGCTGAATCGTCTTTCCATGTCATTGATTGCTTCAAGGACCTGGTTCTATGCGGATTTTGGGCCTCGCCCGACACTGACCCCGGAATCGTCAGGTCTTGGTTTGTCTGCAATCCGTTTACCAAGCAATGGGTAGCCCTTCCTTTAATGCCTAACAGGTCAATGGAAGAACGTGGTGGATTGATTGCGAGGTTAGTTTGTGAACCTCGTTCGAATCCCGAGCTTGATCTGGGAGATGACCAAGTATTTGTTCACTCCGAGTATCGGTTCCGGGTGGTGTGTATGTATTCTGCTGTGGGCGAGTCTACAAAACTAGACGTGTTTTGTTCCGAGTCTGGAGCCTGGACTGAGGGGGCTCTTGTCCTTGACAGTGATCTTATTATATATCGCGAGGAAGTAGTTTCGTGCAACGGCAGGCTCTTTTGCTGTGCCCAGGATGCTGGTCCAAGGCTTGATGCTGCTCCGATTCTTGGGGTTGATGCTTTCCACCTCGATCGACCTCCATTCCGTGTGGATGGTCATCCTGGATTCGAGTGGAAGCATTTTCACATCTCGGCCTCGCAAGGTGTTTTGCACGTAGCTCGGCTTGATAAGAACCTTGGTGCACTTCCCTTGTTGACTGTTTGGAGACAGGATGAGGGCGGCGACGGGCAACATAGTTCATGGAGTGAGCTATATCAAGTGTCGTTGTCAAAATCGTGCTGCTTCGTTGCCTGTTTGCATCCAGACGACCCAGAAATTGTCTTCTTAGAGAATCATGTCAGTGCGGAGATACTGTATCGCGATGTGAGGACGGGGGAGGAAGGCGTCTTTGATAGCTTGTCATTTCGATGGAGGCTGTTCCAGCCTAGGATTTCCTGCTGGCCTACCCCAATTCCAAACTACGGAAAACTCCGAGGTGCTTACGATGGAAGCTACGACTGTTGGGTTAAACAGACCAGCCGCCAAGCTGCTCCTGCTCCTGCTCTGCCCCTCAGAATCTAAGTTTGTATGTAGACATTCTTTTCTTCTGTCTGTTAGGGTTTATTTAGGAGAAGGTTGCTTGGAACTAGGAATGTTAAGAGCGTTTTTCAGTTGAAGCAGAACAGAGTAGTCGTCGTAGCTAGCTTATATTCTAAACTGTAATGTCTCTCCTTTCAATTCTGTTTCTAGTGTTCGGTTTTTATCAATATATATACTTCCTTCCTTCTTGGCTCTCATTTATTGGTACAACAATTAGTTCCAAATAAATGGCGCATGGAACCTGGATAATATCAGCACTCCTTGGATATCATTCTCATACCTGCTCTTGTCACTTGAATGGTACTATAAAAATCTGTGGAAAATACGTGTGATTGAATGAATACATGATTTTGTACTAGATTAAAAATAGAAAAAACAATGGATTGTCAGACACATAATATTCAGCACTGAATCCTCGGTTAAGAAAAGTCCACTTAGTCTGCAATTCTGGGTTGTTAATCAGCATAGTTTGTGACTAATGAGAACACGTTACCACTTACCAACGATTTGACGTTGCGACGGCAAGGAGTAGCCGGTAACTCTAGGCCGGATTTCAAATTTGTTTTTTTTTTATCAGTTTGTATTATTTTCCTATTGGTATTGATTTTTTGTAGTTGTATATTTTTCTTCTTCTATTGGTATTGATTATGATGTAATGGTATTATTTTTTGGTATTGATGTTATCGTATTGGTATTGGTTAATCCACAACAGTATGTATTTTCATATTGGTATGTATTTTTCTGGATTTTTCATATTGGTATGTATTTTTTTATATTTGTATGATTTTTTCGTAGTGGTATTATGTTTTTCGCATTGGTATTGTGTATGTAATGGTATTGTTTTTTTGGTATTGATGTTATTATATTGGTAGTGATCTTCATGTATTTGTATTAGTTAAATCTTCAATGGTATTGGTTAATAAGTAGTATAATCGTATATGTTGTGGTAGTTAATGTAGTCAAAATCCCGATTTTAATCTTAAAATCTTACGATTTCACGATCTTACCTATGTGTTACGATCTTGATTTTACTGTAAAATCTTTGAACCTTAAAATCTCATAAAATCTCGATTTAAAACTCTAAAATCCTTAAAATCTACGATTTCTACGATTTTGTACGATTTCAAGGTTCATATCAATTGAAGCAAAATTAGGCCGATCAAGTCGGTTCTTCCCATGAACCGAGTCAAGTTTACTTCCCCTGACCCAACATAATGAACAACACAACCCTAACCCGATAGACAACCCTCAATTTATTTTCATTCTCTTCCTCGTATCTTCTTCTTTCACGCGTCGATGCCTAACTCCTGCCATCAACGATATCTTCCACCCTCCCAATTAGCTTGTAGTTTGTCCCACCACCCTCAAAATAATCCAAATCTCCATTCCATTGCAAGCTTTTGTTCATCTCCCAATTCTTCACCACCCTACCTTTTATCATTTAAGAAAGGGATGCATCAATCAATGAGTTATCTTTGCCAGCTGATGGTGATAAGGGAAATATGGTTAATGGTGAGAGTACTTCAAGTGATTTTAAGAGTAATGATATCAGCCCTCAAGCAAATAGACAAGGATGGGAGTGAGGGTGAAGGTGAGGAAGATGACGAAGATGTGTAAGTGATGTTAATGTTGATCATAATGATCTTATGTGATTTTCTACTCTTAAATATTAATTAAGTGATTTCTATGAGGTTTTAAGTTGCTTATTTATGTGTTTATATTATGTACAAGAATAAATATATGGATTTAGTTGTGTTTATTTAGTAAACAAACTTATCTTGGGAAGTAATTATGTTTTATGTGGTTGATTGTTATTCATGATATGCATTTTTATTACAATCTGGTGTTTTAAGTGTGTATTTTATTATGCATCTTAAAATCTTACGATTTTATGATTTTAATCTATGATTCCGATTCTACCTTAGTTTTTTATTTTACTTAAAATCTCGATACTGCATTGGTGGTAGTGGTAGCGTTTTTAGTTTTGGTAATAATTTTTTTTTCTCCCTATAATGGTATTGGTGTTTTTCGAAGTGGTAGTAGTTGCCTAATGGATTGGTAGTGATTTCTTGTTCTTTTTTTTCCAGAAAGATTGAGAACAATAAGGAAAGGAGATCCAGATGGAGATTACGAAAGTGAGAGAAAAAGAAAGAATTGTAATTTCTACTTAGTAACCATGGTGATTACTGCTTTCGAGTAATCACCATAACCCCTCTCTCCCACCGCCGTCACATTTCTCATTCCATACCCAAAATCTGCCTGCTGCTGCAAAACCGTCCAAAAGCTGCGGAGGAAGTTGATCCAAATCTCAATCTACTAACAACCTATTCGACGAAATGCAGAGGGAGCGACCAAAAAAATCGCGGGCCTGGAATTAATCCGTATAAAAATGAAAACACTTAGCGGGTTGTCTGCAAATTCTTTCGTTAAGTGTTTCCCCCACTTTCTTACCGTCAGATCATTGCTCAGGTTCTGGTTCAAGCAACAACTTTCTTTCTTCCTTCTTCCTACCTCCTTCGTCCTTCTTCTTTTTCCTTCATTCTTCTTCTTCGCTGCTACTGGTCTTTTTCTGCTCTTCCTTAAAATGGTTATGGCCGCGGCCGCATTATATGTGGCGGTATGAGAGGAGATTGATGCGGCCATTGCCCTCAACAGACTGGAGCGCTGCAGAGAATATCTCATTATTTGCATGCTTGCTAATGGAGTACCTCTACAGAACGCATTGTTCGTTTGCCAATCCCGCATTGAACCTCCAAGGGAAAGACTAATTGCTGCTCAAGCCAACGTAGCCGCCACCAGAGCCGCACTTATTCTATACGTCTTGGAACAGCCGGGAAAAAGACGTCGGCTGCGTTAAGCAGCCCGTCTTCCTCTCTTCTTTGTTTTCTTTCCTTTCTTTTGTTCGTTAGATTTTTTGCCTTCGGTTTCTCATTCTCTACCCTGCTACTCAGGGTGGGAAATGGCTACGGAAATTTGCTGTTACGGCGATGAAGTTTGGCCGCCGTAGGCGTGGTGTCACATTAGTAGTTGAATTTAGTTTGTTGGTTTAGTTTGGAGGATTCTCCTGTGTGGCTATCGGATTTTAACTAATTGCTCTTCTGTAGGCTTTGCGCATCTCCAATCTTGTGTATCATGGCTCAAGTTCATTAGGGCAGCAAAACAATTTCTCGTTGTTCTCTCGCAACAGGTGCAAGGAGGATCCGACTACTGCGTTGGGTTTAGTTCCAAAGAAAAGGGTCTTTCTTGCGTTAATATTTAAGAAATCTTTAATGTTTCAAAAAGTCTGAGTTAAGTTTCTGTATGTTGATTGTTGATAGGTATGACCTTGTGTTCTAATTCTTTAACTTGTAGTATTTGTTTGTTGTTAGGCTTCACATCTCCGTTTGCAAATGTATATGATGGCGATCCACCTGCATTTGGTTTCTTGGGACGCTCTACCGGCTGCTTGTTTGTTCATTTGTTACCGCCACCTAGCATCTAGATCAGATTATGTGGCATGAGGGGACAAATGAAAGTGCTTTAATATTTATTAAGATTAAGATTAAGATATAGCAGAGTTTGAGGAGATTTTGAGCATTTTAAGTTCTCTGGTCTCTCCTTAATTGTAGCTAGGGGTAAAAATGGCACCTACCCACTGACGTTGACGATTTCTTCTTCTTTTTCTTTTGATTCCTTTTTCGATCGAAATCTTCTTCATCCCAGTTTGCTCCGACATCAGAGACTCTCGGCCTCCTCTCAAGCTAGCTCTCGACCACTACGGCCCTCACGTCTTCCTCCGCCTCTATCTCTTTCCTTTGTCGTCCGTAATTATTTAATCTGAGTTTTAGTTCCAGTTTTAGACGACGTTCCTGTTGTAATAGAGTGGTCTAAGATCCATTAATAACCTTCTCCAACAACTCGAGTTATTGGAACCAACTGATTTATGACATGATATCAGAGTTTGTTTGACCAAAATGATCGCGTGTCGAATCTCCACAGCCCGACCGGGATGAGATAATATGCTAACCCTCAAAGAGGTCTGATTTTTTACATGATAGAGATCGTTTGTTACAAAATATAAACCTATGTAGTAAAGTAATTCACCTTTTACAATCAATCAGGTTGCGAGTTCATTAATGAAGTTTAAATCCTTTACTCCTTTATGTTACATTCTTACCTTGATCACCTTTTCTTCTCTTTTGCTAACAATGTGCTTTGTCTGTATATACTATTTGAATTCAAGCAACGCAATCAGGTAGCTAGAAATGCTCTTTCTTTGTATTCGGCTACATGTCGTTCTTTTGATTTTCTTTTCTAATTATATACCAGACTATAATTTGTTCTATCTCTTTCTAATCAATACAAGATTATCTTTTGTAAAAAAAATTAAAAGAATGCAAGCAATGCACCACTAATTGCGATCCCTAAACCCCTAGATGGATTGGAGAGGAGTGAGTGACACGGCTAGCCCGGCCCGGCCCACAGAATGAATTGGAATGGCTGGGGACTGGAACGACAATTCTGAGGTGTCGTAACGGCACCGATGCCATAATGATTTTCTGACCGGTTAGGATTATTGGGTTTGGAATTTACTGGGTTGGTCTGATCTGGTTTTGTTATCTATCTATCTATCTATCTATCTTCTATAAAAATATTAAAAGGCTTTTAGATTTTGACCACTGCCACATCAGCGTTAAATGAAATCCATGCTCCCACGTCACTAAAAAAACAAAAACAACAGTCCGTTTTTTTTTTCTTCTTTCCATTCCCTCAACAGTAGCAACGTTTGGTTTTTTTTACAGTGGCAACGGGTTTTTTTTTTAAAGCAACCGCTTCCTCCATTTTCTCCTCTTTCATTTAAGCTTTTGGCCTTTCCAGTAGTACCCAATAAAAAATGTAAAACGTGACAGAGGGTGGGGTGGGACTTGGGAGGCTGGGAGCATTTTGGATAGATAATTTTATCATTTTTTAATCCTAATAACATTTAAATTAGCATGTTTTCACTTTGTAATTCATATTATTTGCTTCTAAGGAATAGGGCATCGAACCGAAGTATACGGTAGTATAGTGGAGAGGAAAAGACCGTTTTGAACCGATGTTTACGGTGAATGTTCTCAGTCATTTCGTTTATGAATGTTTGTGGGTATTCAAAAATATTATGCATTCACGTTAGCCTTATTATAGTGTCATTTTGTTATTTTAATGTTTCTCTACAATAAAATTAACCAAACATATAAAAAGCATTAGTAGGGTTTTGAACCCACTAACTCCAAATCGTAGGGTATAGGTTGCTAAGGTATTAAACTATTGAGACAAACTTCATTGGATGATTTTAGTTTATTGATCACAACATGATTGGTGCTATCGTATTATCATATCTTATGCGTAATATGTTCACTCTATCAATAAAACCAATCTTAGATAAAATGTTACGTAAACTCAATAAATCTTATACTAAAAGTATATTTTTATGTTTAAAATAAAATTTTAAACATAAATAAAATAAAAATAGTAATAAATTTAAATATTATATGAAATAATTAATAAAAATAATTGGCCGGGTACAAAGCTAGTAAGAATGAATAACGACTAGAGTAAAGTCAAAAGAATATTTGGTTCGATTCTGTGTTGGATTTTAAGATTTTGATTTAATTGGATTCTCATCTACCTTTCTCTTAATTGAAATAGAAAATCCATGAAATTGAGAGTTGTTTGAAACTGGTCATGAAAATATTGTGCTGCTTGCACTTTGAATATAACTTGTGTAAAAAAAAAAAACTTGTGTCAACCATTAATAACTTGTGTGTCATGGGCCTATAAGAGTTAAACATTGTAATGCTCGCTTAAACCTAAAGTAAATCTTTTGCATGTTTCTTCCATCGGTCGATGTTTGGCTTGTGGCTCGGTGGAACCAATTGGTTCAGTCGGTGTTGAGTGAGCTCGGGTGAATTGGTGGGGATTCACGTAACACACAAATTCGATTGATTTTTCAAAACTTAGTAGGGTTTTTTGTTCTCACAACCTCAACAATAAAGTTGATTTGGATATGATAATTATGCTCATTATGAATAGTTTTGGTTTAATAGTTTTCATGAAAAAATACGAGGTATTGGAGGAAATTAAAATAGTTTCATGAAATGTCCTGAAAGAATTAGTCTCGACTAAATTGGTCTTCACGTTCTACACGTTTAGGCTTCTGGTTTTGTTTGAAGCTGTCTTTTTGTGTTGCTTCTTTGTACTTGTGCTTTTATTTTGAACTTTTTTCTTAGTTATATTTAATAAAATGACGACATCCTTATATATAAAAAAATTGGTTTTGACTTTCGACTAGATTGGTTGAGGACGTCTAGTTAAATTAAATAACACTTAAATACAAAAAGTTGAAAAGCAAAAGCAAAGAAAGGCAACCTACTGCCTACGGGTTCCTTCAATTCATCGTTCTTTTAAAGAGATAATAATAATTGCAAAAAATGAACAGATCCAAGTAGTAGTATCAGGTCCTTTAGCTATTGTTCTTGAGAAATGACCAGGTCTGGCTCATTCCTCTCCCTTCGGTCGAGTATATTGCATTCCTCAAAAGAAGTGCGTGCATTCCCCGATCAATGTTCTGGTGGTACAGGAAGAACCAGCACTGCCTGAATATTTCTTGGTTCACGAATTTGCACCCATGGGGGGTGTACTCCGAATCAGCAGGAAGACAACAATGGTACGAAGAAGAAACTAGGAACCCGGATGAAGATGAGCCGGAAACTCTTTCTGCAATGTTCAGAGGTACGATGGCCAACTGGGCTATAGCCAAAACTGGTTCAACTGGGTTTGAGTTAACTTTCTTCATCCACAAGAATGGTGGATCCATTGCCAACGCCAACATCTACCAAACTTGCCATCTCCTCGTCTAGTAGTTGTGGTAAAGGGGAGCTCTGCAAGTTGAGCAAAATACAATGAAGCTTTTGCTAGTTGACCTTTTGTTAGTGGGTATCAGTCTCCAGTCTCCACTACTCTGCAATCAAGAGTTTTACCGAGACAATAACAAAATGGTTTGCAAGGAAGAGTAATAGCACAAACCTCTTCCTCCAGATACAACTTGGGTTTTACTGATCTTAGTTTGAAAAAGATTTCACAGAGAATCTTTAGCTTGCCAACCTAGGAGAAAAGTGAACTTCCAAAACTATAAATGAGAAACCACCCATCAAGACATCTATTTTGTATAAGAAGAATGAATGTGAAAATCACCGTGGTAGAGGCAGGTAACTTCTTCGTAATTGGATCTTTTTCGCCCATGGAAGCACCCACACACTTAAGGGTGACCGCTGCATTTTAGTGACAGAGTGTGAGGAAAGTATGCGAACACAGATGAGCTGCACAAAAGAAATAGATGTCGAGGGATCATACACAGTAGTCCAGCAGCCATTTTCTGAGGGCCAGCTGCCACAGTTGACGGCCTTTCGTCTTCAATACCATGGAGACGCTTAAGCTCAGAAAACCTGCGATCAAATCCAATTCTGTATTGATGAAAGAAATAAACATTGGCAGCAGACAGCTTGTCACTCGGTCACCTATACTTTATCCAATTCTCACTGTAGTTTTTATATTCTGGTGCAGGATAAAGGAGTACCTTGGATGAAGTTTCTTAATTTCATCTGGTTTGTCATGCAACTGCGACATAACTAAGCGAACATACCTGCAAAATATATTCAGGAAACGCAACTGATTCTGAGCTCAAACCTTTACTTTGGAAGTTAACGAATTTGGTTGAAGAAATGTGCATTCTTTAGTCAGAAGTTGGTATAACAGAACTGAATAAGAGAAAATGTATCTACCTGATCTCACATTCCTTCCTATCACGAACACGAACCTGAAATCAGATATCAACGAAGTTCAGAAGGAGCAGATAAAGAAGAGGCGTCTGCCCAATTACAAGTTCAGGAGCTTACCTCACTTCCATTTAGCATTTCCACCTTAGACAATCGGGCAAGCAAGACAAATCTAGGGATACCACCCCTTGCTGGTTCAGTTATTGGATTTTCTGAAATTCTGATATCCTATAATGTAGTTAACAAAACAAAAAAGTCATCAATCAAGGATGGGCATCTAAGTAAGAGTTTTTGAAAATGTCGCATGGGCATTGTCTTTCTGGGATATGAAACTCTTTCTTCCAAGAAGGTATAGGCCTTTAGGATATTATACAAGTTGAAGTCCTATTTCCCTTCAGACTTCTACAAACAGCAAGAGCATAAGGGCAACTTACCATTAGGTTAGGGAACAAGTTGAGTGAGTCAATTGATGCCAGATCCTCAATGTTGTTACTTGCTGAAGGGAACAGGACATTAGACTATCGTACATTGTCAAATAGCAAATCAGTAAGACATAAAGAAGTTTTAGAGCTACTACCCAAGAGAAGATTACGCAAGTTTCTGAAAGGAATGCAGCCTTTCTCTTGCAAGTGAAATCCATTTAACATTTTCTGTACTGTATCATCATCTGGATAAAACACGCTCTTCAATTTGTTCTTATTCAACTGAAGGTGTTCCAAACTGAGGATGAAAACGTGTCAGTGTTTTCCACAAAATAGGTGCATATCAAGTTAACTATTCAGTTTCCAATTTCAAAAAGAGGAGCACCCACATCAGCCTGACCTTGTCAACATGGAAAGCTTTAAGATTTCAGCCCACTCAGCTATACAGTTATCTTCCAAATTCAGAAGCCGTAAAGTCTCAAATCCTTGAACAATAGATGATGTCGGCTACAAACCACAGAAAAAAGTGTAAATTAAATATTGAATTTAAAGAAGCTATTCCATGCATGGGACACAAGATGATGGTTAATCATTACATGCAACTCATTTCCCTTCTCTAGCCAGTTTCCATACTTCAAAGACTTGTCAAAATTTTTCTCTTACCCACATAACACATGGATACCTAATTAAATATATCCAAAAACTAGCCTTGAAATAGACTTGAAACAGTATGGATGAGGTTATAAGGTCGTTGTATCCCAATGAAAGAGTACCTTTATTTCACATATACCATTTCCCATGAGATGCAACTCCTCTATTACTGGCAATAGAGGTTTAAGTTCTTCCACCTACACTACCAGAAAAACAATATATCTTGTTAACCCTTTAAAGAGATAAGAGAGATGATGCAAGAGAAACAAAGAAGCTTTGGGAACCGACCTGTGTCCACTTTATACCGGTACAGTTCAAAACTAAAACGCGAATCCTACTGAGTTGTGGCAGGCCAGTGACAACATCTGACATTAAATTGTGAGACAGATTGAGTGCTGTAAGACAAGGCAATTGCTCATATATGATGCCTATATCCTGCAGTGAGTAATAGAGCCAAAGAAAGCAAGCCTAATCAGTACCGACCAGTCATCACAAGTATCAAAGTCAACTAATGGCAAGTTTCGCCACAAAAGACGGGCACAACAATTAGTGTGAAAGTTATTATGCTAGAGTGGACAAAACACACATAAGAGCATCCAGATAAGAAGATATACAAAATGTACCTTCCATTCTGAAAGCAAATTTCCAGTCAAGTCCAGTTCTTTTATATCTGCAAGTACAGCGCCGAAGTATTAGGACCCAAGCAACATTCGCTCCTAACCCCTAGTTCAAGCAATCATTCGAACCAAATGAACAGCTGATCTGTTTCCAGCATTCTCTTAGACAATGCCATCTACTATTCCAATGTCGAAGACAAAGGGCAGATCAAATTACACAACTTTGAGGCTAAAAAGTTTCAGAATAGCTAAAATAGAAGCCCCTTTTTTACTCTACAAATGAGCACCATGAAGGTCCTAAGACCAATGCTATCATAGACTTACTTGGAACAGTAGAACTGATATCTTCTGATGACCCCGGAGTGCTAACACCGAGAAAAGACAGAGAAGCATTGGTGAGCTCATCAAACCGGCTCAGCTTATCTTGAATCTTCTCTTTACCCAAAAATTCCACAGGCACCCTTCTGTTCTTTCCCGAAAGCACATACATTTCCTCTACAACAACCAGAACCCAGAAATCAAAATCAAGCTATCAATTCAAATCAGCCGGAAAAGAAGAAAAACATTTAATTTCCTTCGCGCACCTTCTTCTTCCTTAGTGGACTGGCCTTTATACCTGATGCACAGAGCTTCAAGGAAAGAAATGCTGGCGCTCAAATTCTGAGGTCGAACCAGCGACGCAGATCGGTCCGATCTCGCTTGGAAGTAACGGACTCCATTCACGGTCCCGTCGTGCTTGCCTTCACCATTGTCCCAGTCGACGCCAACCCAACTGCCGGAGTACCCTTCTACCGTTCCTACATACTTGACGGTGCCGATTCGACGGGGATCGCCGACCGAGTGGACTCGCTGGCCGACTTTGAAGGAGATGGAACTCATATTGGCGGCGGGAGAGTTCGCCACTTCTTCTTCTTCTTGGTGCAGTGGCGGGAGCTTCCTTAGTTGCTTTCTGAGCGTTGGAGATCGGAGTGAAGACCGAAGAGTGCGGAAGTGGCGTTTCTTCTAAACTCTAAAGAGATCCCTTAACTTTTAATTATGAATTGTTAGACGCTCAAGTTCAAAATTGTTCACATTAGTCCTCGCCGTTAATCTTTGTGAAACATTGGCTAACAAATCCTCTTGTAAACATTGGTTAATCTTTGTTCACATTAGTCCCTGCAATCCTCGTGATGCTCGTTGTGACGCCATTTACCGAGAAGTGCTTGATCTCATTGGTCATCTTCCCTTAGTTCATTTTGCTTACACTTCTCGATAAGCGAATCGGGCTGCCCATTGTGTGGAGTGTAATGTTCTACGCTATCCTGGTATTAGTAATGTCTTATATGATTATTCGTACATGGTCTGTCTTTGAGTCCGTGTAGGGGCCATCATTGTTGTGGTTTCACACGCTTATCTGGTTAATCCGCAAGGATTTCTATGACAAAAAAAATCCTCTTGTAAACAATTTTGGAACTTAGCGGCAATGATTTGTACTCGTGAATGTTGCTTATTAGTTGGCTTATTTGAGACACAATTGAGTAATAGCTCAAACTTTTAATTGAGAGATATTGAAGTTCTTTATCTTCATATTTGTTTAGTTATGTAAATTGTAATGTAATATATCGAGTCTGAAAATATGTCAATCCTTAAATATATTCATTTTGATTGTGGAATGTGAATTGTTGCAAAGTGAATTTCGTGCGCAAGATATAAATAATCCTAAAATATGACTGGATATGTAATTATTATAGATTTGGATAAAGCCTTCAAGACACTTCGATTGTTGACTTTAAACCTAGCTCAAGTTAGCCAAGAGAAGCATGTAGAGCATAATACAAACCGCCTACACATTAATCCTTTCATATCATTGTCAAAACCCCCTTTCAATTACATCACTTTACATTACCTCTACCAAAATGGGATGACACTATGATGCTTCATATAACTATATACACAGTTCATACAAATCAAATTGTTCAAAAAAAAAATAACCCCTAAAATGGCAATTTGCTGCAGGTAAATTCAAAGGCAGTCTGCAAGAAGCTTTTCCCGCCATCATCCTCAGGCACTTTGAGAAGCCTAGCAACTTTACTGAACCCTGCATGCTGCCTTGTATACCAAGCAAGCTCTTCATAACTTGCAGCTTCTCCTTCTTCTTCTGTAAGTGGCTGATGATGAACAAGATGGGTGACTTCTTGTTTCATGAGGTTTTCTCTGGTGAGAGCCCATTGCATTCCCCATATTGCCAATGGCCTCATGTAGCAGAGTGACCTGTACTTGTCATCTGTGTTCCATCCTTCTGGGACCTGGAATGAGTACCTGGAAATGGCAGAGGAAAACCTAGCTTAGCTTTACTTGCTATCCAAGGTATAAAAAATAACCTAGCTTAGCTCTTACTCACCCTAGGCCGGTTTGTGACCATGCAGCTTCATACACACCAGAAGCTGTCTTGAACCCCAAGTCTTCCATCTGTTCTTGAATCATGGAAGCAGCAAGTGCATAAGTCACACCAGGCCATATCTCTTTCGACTGCATCCCTGGCAAGACCCTTCCATCTGGTAACATCCCATTGACGGCGCCACGAGTTCCTCCTTTGTATTTCATCACATTGAAGTTGTAGATCTTCTCCAATGCACTCTTCACTTTCTGCTCGTCCACGATCGGTGAAAGACCAGTCGCCCTAGCATACCTGGAGCGACATTACGAGCCTTAAAATCAACACCATGTTTATTATGCACATGAATTGGATTGAATGTGTTAAGCTTGCTAAAGTCTGAAACTTATAGGACAAGGAACATTTTTACTCACCATTGACCAGCAAGCTGATCAGCATGGATGGAAGGGTTCCCACTGCTGTCATAGTTGAAGTATGTTCCATTCCAGAGCTTCTCATACACAGCTTTGGCCTTCTGGTACCTTATCCAGAAGTATTTTGCTGAATCGGTCTCGCCAATCACACTAGCCAATGCAGATGTGGCCTGTAGTGCAGCCACCCAAAGGCCACCACAGTAAGAACTCACTCCATGGACGGGCCATGCATCATAAGTTTGATCAGGGAAACCTTCGTTCTCGATCATTCCATCCCCGTCTTTGTCAAACTGCTCCATGTACGCCATGGCAAGGTACACCGATGGCCAAACTGCTCTAGCGAAGCTCGTATCGCCCGTGGCCACCACATCCCTGTATATCTGCAGACAGGATTTCAAATTTGCCTCTATGTTATGCTAATGTGGCTGTCACATAACTTCAGCGACATAGCAGCAAAAGACTAAGGGAAGAAATGAAAAATGCTAACTATAATCCACATAGGACACAACTTTGGTGCACATTTTCAGCTGTCACTATACCGAATTCAGTGTTCCACTGTGATTCATATATATATGTAAACATATTTCCATACCTGGAGGACAAACTTGGGGTTCAAGTCTTTCCACCTAGCCGTGCTGAAAAGATTATAGGCATTGACCTCAAACCAAGGGTCATTCAATCCAATGTCATGTGGCACAGCACCAAGCATCTTCTTGGGAACCATCTTCCCATCGCTCATGATCTTCATCTTTGTAGGGTCGTGCATCATCACCGCGGCAGCAAAGTCTCGTTGGAAGTTGAGTTCAAGCTTTGGGAACAACATTAAGATGGCGAACGACGAGTAGAAGTGAACATCATAAGTGTTGTACATGAGGTATTCTGAGCCTTCCAAGTAGAGGAAGTTGCCAACATTTTCTTCTCCTTCGCTCATGAGGTACGCTCCAAACGCAGCGTTTGATGTAGTTTGGTTGTTGATCTGCTCGTAGGTTGTCACCATTCTCTCTAGGATGTCGACTGCTGTGTCATTTTTGGGTGAATGGATGTGGTTTTGGTGCTTTGGTTGCATGATTGATCCATCTAGGGAGAATTTTTGGTCTTTGATTGATGTTAAGCTTTGCAAAGGGAGTGATCCATCTGTAAGCGGAAACAACATTTGATCACTTAGATAGTCGGAATCAGTCACCGAACTCGTCTATATGTGATACATATAGGCGAGTTCATCAAGGAGAATAGTATTAGAGCACATGAACCATGTGTTTGGGAAGGAAAGAAATCCAACCTGTCCATATTGTCCCACCAGCATTCAGGTAATAGAGTTCATTGAAGAGAGTAACTGGGTACCTATAAGCACAAATTTGTCAATAATCACTTGAGATAATTTATCTTCAACATTTGAAGTCTCATTAGATAGAAGAAGTAGAGGATCTCTGGTAAGTAACACATACCATTCTGGTAGCCTTCTGTCTTCAAGAATTGGCTTCTGCCATGCCTCTATCTCAGCCTCCCAATGACCATGCTCTAGTTTTCAAGAAGAAGCAATGGAAGTTCAGAACAGATATATAAAACTGAAATTTGAAACCCCGAAAGGTCTTCGTCTGCAAAAAAGGATACGATAAATCTTATTTGTAGCACGACTCGTACCAAGAATCGCATCATGAGCCATCCTAGCTGCAGCGTCCCCTAACGAGCCATAGAATTTCGTGTAACGTCTGTAGTAACTTTTCTCACTGAACCTTACTTCTGGGCTGTCCCATGCTAATGCAAATGTGACAGTTTGGACAGAGTGTGGAGGGACAGTCACAGAAGCTGCTATGGCTGCCCCAATTGATGAGCCTGGTTCTGAAGGTGCACTTTTGCAGCACATGTGGTCAAATGTCCCATGCTAGTAAGCAAGAAAAAAACAAAGTTGGAATAAGAAAGATGTAATTGCCATAAAGATTGAAGATATATATGTGCAGAGTGAAAAAGAGGGTAAACCTTCTTAATCTCATCCCACATATCCTTGGCTGTGATTCCTTTGGATTGGGAGGAGGTGGGAGATAGTAGAAAGTAAGGACATTCCGACACATGAACATCGCTTGTCTCCTGGGCTGCCATGGCGTATGTGAGCTGAGGTTGTCCATTTGCTGTCCTGCAGAAGATTTCCCAGTTTTCAGTTAAGATAACTTGTGGTGCAAGGTACATCGTTTTCTCTACTTTGCTGCTTGCAGGAACTTACTTGTGATGCAAGGTAACTCCATGAACTCCATCTTTTGTCCTGGGAGAAGCCAAGATCATTACCATTATATACTAATATACTAGAATAAACAGATAAAGAATGAAACAAAGCATTTTTTTTATGTGAATCGGGTCTTCTTACTTCATCATTGAGTTGTAGTGTTGCCCTGTAAATCCAGATTGCCCACCAAGTGAATTCTGTGAAAAACACAGAAAAATGAAACCTTTTCCAGAGGAAAAGTTACTTGAAGATGAAGTTTCGGAGTAAGAGTTAAAAGAGGATCAGAAACATACTGCCCAAGTAAAGAGTAATGTGACATCTGCAGAGGTAGCTCCAGAATTATAGAGCTCAAATGTGAACACTGCTACTGGGAAGCTGCTCTCTTTATAGTTGTGAGGAATGAAAGGTGACATCTGACGTGACACGATTCTCAACTCCGGATCATGCTCACCTGGTTTTCAGATTCAATGTTCAGAATTCCGATCTCCCTTAGTTTTCTCATTAAATATCTGATGAAGCTTAATCAAATAATACCATCATAAGTAGTCCAAGCCCTAGGAAACAAAGCATGGTAAGTAGTCTTGTCACCACCAAGATTCCAATCCCAAGACTCAATGCCAGAACCTGTGCTTCCTCTGAAATTTTGTTTAAACCCTAATTTCAATGGGAAGTTTCTAATTTCTACATCTATGGTCATCATGTGTCATATATTGCTAGTTTGCTTACTTGGGGAGTTCAGGCTTGCTTGAGCATAACACAGAAGAGAACTTCTTACCATCCGGGCGAGACACAAAGGCCTGCACAATGTTGAAGTTAACAACTTTGTTCAACAACGGCGTCTGAGAATGCAGCATTGCAGAAGACCAAGCAGAAGGATAAATTAACTTACCGAAAATTGGTTAGCCAAAACCGGCTTTTCTTCGTGTACCAAAGGGAGTAACTTGAAATGCTGGAACTCCCCTTTGTAGCTTCTTCCAATGCTTCCTGTTCTGAAGGGAAAAAACAAAGGTCAACATAAGAACACATTCTGCAGCTTCCTATAGGGGGAAGAAGAAGCAAGCTATCAACTAATCCAATGTCCAGCTTACCCTAAGCCGCCTAAAGGGAGGCCATGATCGCCGGTGATATGGTGCTTTCTGAGGAAATCAAATATAGTTTCCTGGAAAGAAACAGAAAACAAAGCGAAATGTGTTAGTCAAGGTTATAGCAAACATTATGATGGAGCCATTTGACATCAAGTTGGTAGCATTACCCTGCCTTTTGCAGCTTCTGCCTTGGTGTGAAAAATCAACCTCACCCCTATTGGCAGCTTTTCTCAACATCAAAACAAGCATTAATCAATGAACAGAACCTTAAGAATAGACAAAGAGAAGGTTTGGCTAAAGAGATGAGTATCTAACCATATGAGCAACATCACTGAAAGTAAGACTGAATGGCAAAGGAGGGGTTGGTTCACTATTGAGCTTCCTCTGCCATGTCAATGCAGGAAGCTTCCCTTGATCCACCTCCTGATTACAGGAACAGAGGAGCATTATAAACACCTCTCTCAACGACGCGAATTGTTGAGAGAGAGACAGCGTTGTGTCCAGAAGAACAATGGGGTTTCTAAGATTAGTACCTTTGTTGTTGCAGCCTTGTTTTGGCCTTCTTCAACATACTCACCCTTCATCACCATTGCTAAACCAGAAATGGAAAAAGGGAGAAAGTATGAAACAGCAGACAACAATGGAAGATGTGCAATTGGACGAGGAATTTAAGGAAATCTTGGTAAGCAAATAAAACAATCATTTTTGCTTGATTGGGAAGTTAAAAAAAAAGGTTTGATTTGATCCTGTTGGCTTTCGTAGAAAATTCAAGTCAAGATTGCCTCATTATTTAATATACTAATTTTCCATCGTGCAGATTCCAGGAAGCCATGATGGAAATGACTCATATATAAAAAGAATTTATTTTCCAGCTGAATTTCTCTTAAAATAAATTTTGCTGTTAAATGAAGATTAGGATCTAAAAGTGCTAGATTAAGTTTAATACAAAAATCAGGATTTAGTAGACCACTTGAGGTTCCTATTGAGATTTCATGCTAGTATAAATAAGGGGGAATAATACCCTAATGTAACTTATTCAATTGGTTAATCTGAGGAAGGTGACTCAATCAAGAGTCAAAACCCATTAAGAATAAGATAAGAGGTTTACATAGTCAAGAAACCCCCATTCCTTTGGAGGATGCATTTGGAAATTTCAAAGGTTGAATGAGAACAAAAAAAAATCAATGTTGGTAGGCTGCCACATTCGAGAGGAAGTGTTATTTATGAAGTAAACAATAGTTAGGTTTTGTTAAACAAGGAACAATTCACCCAAATTCTTGATAAGTAAGGTTTGTTTGGATTGAAAAGATAAAAGAGGGAAATGTTTTGGGTGAAGCAACAAAAACCCTTTTTCAATTACATGGTCACTAAATTTTTTGGGGTAATAAATTTGTTAAAAGTTGATGTCTACTGATAAATTTATCATTAGAAGTACAAACATATCTCAAGTAAATTACTACATTAATTTTTCTCAAAAAGAAAAAGTGTCAAAATTGTTCAGATTTATGTGTCTACTCATTCAAAATTCAAACGGATTATAGTAAAGGTCATATAAACACTTAAATAAGCTCGTACGGAATACTCATTGTACCTCCTATGCAATACAGATCGATCTAATTACTCGATCTTAGTACTAACTTATATTACATAAGTCATCTTATTTTCTTAACTGACTTCAATCCGTTGCTAATTTAAGAGTCTATGCAACTTATCAATTTGCATAAGTTGACATATCGGAACTCGAGGAACAACTTGAAATACCTGGCAAAAAAGGAACTATTTGAACATTCCAAACATGAAATACCAAACTCTACAAAAGATCAAAATCTTGTAATCTAATTCACCCAAGTCTAGTGAGTGAAAAACATATACAACTCCTATCCAATATCTCATTTGTACATGCTCCACTAGGGGTGTTCAAATGGTTACCATGGTTATAACCAAACCAAATAAGGCTAAATTTCATTAACCATGGAATACAATATCATAACCAAACCGTCCAAACTAATACAACAACCAAATTAACCAAACTAAAGTTTAATCGGTTTGGTTAATTGGTTAACCAGATTAACCAATATAAAATCACATTATCATTGACGATGAAAATTTTCCGGTTAATGCAACAATTCGCAATTTATATAATGAATAAAACATAACAATCAACACGTAGTTATAGTTGACCCTTAACAAAAATACATGCAACTAAATTATCTTACGATTAGTATAGAAGTATTCACCTAACAAAAATTTATGACAATGGTATGAGTTAATGAATTGTTGTGTTTGTGTAAATTGACTTAGTCTCTTAGCAATTATCATAGGCTGGAAATGACCTTCCTTTCAAGTTTTCATCCATCATAATGTATGAAATTTATCTAAATTAGGCGTCCATATGTTGTGGTCTACATTTTACATATACAAATATACACTATATGAGCAATATTGAGCTTTATATTTTATGAGTCTAAAAGGGATGAATGTTAACTCTTGAGTGGTTATGCAAAGTATTAAGTATGTGTATATAATATATGTTAGATATATGACTAATTACTTAACTGGTTAATTTGGTTTGACTGGTTAGGAGTGTCTGAAACCAAACCAAACCACCTAAACCAAACAAGCTATAAACTTTAACCAAACCAAACCAATTATCCAAATTAACCAAACCAAATTATCCAAATAGTACTGGTTAAAACGGTTACCATGGTAACCAAACCGTTTGAACACCCCTATGCTCCACCACATTCACTTGGTTCTTATCTATATCTATTTTGGGGTTGTGGTGTCACTTGTCCACTACTCAATTGCTTGGTCTCTTGCTGACAAAAGCAAAGTCTATCCATTTCTTATAACATAATGACGCCCAGCTTCCACTAAAATCATTTCTTAATTCGATTCACCAACTCCTCTACTCTACTCATAAGAAACAAAACAGGAGCAGAAGGACAGAATCCACGCACAAAAGACGAGCAGGATGTTGGGTGATAAAATATAGATTGCAAACCAAATCCACTGTCCAGAAAAATGCCAACCCTCACCAACCAAAAGAAGAATTCAAAACAACTTAATAGAATATTATCAAAATGAGATCGTTCATTAGTCAATGAGAAAATGGCAGCATCAACGGCCGCACCCACCAACTTCAATAACAATACTTTATAGATGCACAAAGAGCTCATTTCAAGTTCAAGAAATCCTAAGCTAGATTACGTTTATTCGAACCGAATCGCCTTAAAAGTTACCCTGTCACATCGCTCGGACAGCTGAAATTCAGTGGTTGGTTTGCTTCCATTAGTGTGTGATTGGATGAAAATGGAGGAAAGGGGAGAGTTTGATTTCAACTCAATGGACATAGAGCAACATCACTCTTCCACTAACATGCTTTCACGCAACAATTTACTTCTTGGTTACATGGTATTCAAAGTAGTGAAAAAAACAGAGCATATAAGAACAGAGCAAGAAGAGAAACAGAGTAAGCTTTAACTACTTCTGTTTTTGTATAGTTTTCTCAATCAAGAGAACGCCATTTGTTATCCTCTTCCAGCCATTGGTTCCTTCCATAGACAACCCAAAGACCCAAAATGGGTCTCATCCCACTCCCCCCACCGAACCCATTGATATGCAGCGAAGAAAACAGAGGAAGTGAAAGCAAGCTAACCTGGAAGAACTTCCGGGAATGAAAACAGAGAGAGAAAGAAGCCAGCTTTTCAACGATCTCTTCGCTGGAGAACTAGTAGAGGACCACAGTATCCTAGAGAGAGAGAGAGAGAGAGAGAGTTTTGAGATCAATGGTTTATGTGGTAGAGACTAGAGAGTTTGATTTCAAAAGAGTGAATTGATTAGTTCCATCTTGGGGGGTAGTTGAGATATCAGAAAAGTTTGTTGGTTCAATATTGGAGTTCCCTTTTCCACATGTAAACAACCGAAAATGGTCTCTCTAACAGGTAAGCTTTTGTTGCTGTTGAAGCGTTTATGTCAGGAAAAGATTTACAGCACTACTGCGTAGTCACGTAAATGTTCGTACCTACCCTGCACCACCGACGATTCCATCCATGGATTGACATTAGTGGTAGCTCCTTTGAGATATTTTTGTATCTTTTTTTTTTTTGGTTGTACTCTCCTCTAATAATGGGCGTGCATGGCGTAGTCAAAGCAAGTGGAAGTGCTGTTGTGGATAGATCAAAGACGCAAGAGCCTACGAACAACAAATTGGGGCCATATAAGGATGATTGATGTGAACTTGGCCACAATACTTTGAATCCTACTAAATATCCTTTGTTGAATACTCTTCCAACCCCACAAAACCTATAACTTTACCAACCCTTTTGAAAAGTGTGTCATTAATTTGATGACCTTTTTATATAGTTATGGTTAGGATTAGCAATTTCGATTCGACTTGTTCGACATGTTTTGGTTCGGATATTACCTGCTTCGTAAATGGGGAAGGTTAAGTGTGGCTGCTCTCTTCAACCTGACTCGTTTTGATACTTCTCATTTTCGACCTATTTTATCTAAATTATATGTAATTTATTCAACCTACTTAGAATTTTACTACCACTGTAGCGAATATCGCGGACGGTGAAAATACCCACGAATACGATCATGAGTTTGATTGTCATCCCTACCCATCGTGTCATTAGGCTCCAACAACATTTGGGCCGGACGGATTTGATTACAGGCGATAGAACTGGGTTGAAATGGGCCAAATCGCAGCTCAAGTAGTGCTGCTCCGGGAGCCCATTAACAATACGGCCCATTTTCCACCCTTCTTCGCGTTTACAGCTACTATGATGAGGAACTACTAAAAACGACGGCAGAGCATTTTCTCCGGCGAACGATCTGAATTTCTACAACACTGCTCTCCGGTGGTAATTGCGATTGATCGGGATATTTTTCCATGGAGAAATCGTCGTCGAACTTGAGCCCACTCGCAGAGGAAAGCTCGGAAAATGAGCAGCGAATTCCCAAGGCACAAGACGATGATTCCGCAAAGCCGCCGCCACCGGTCTCTGCCTTCGACTCCGTTCCCGATCGCCCTGCTTCTCAGTGAGTTCCTGTCCTGGCCTTCTTCCTTGAAACGTCTCTAGTATTTTTTTTTTTTTCCTTCTGTTTAGGAGGGAGCAATTCGTTCGATTTTGCTTTACTGATTGGTTTTCTGGATTAACTGATCAGTTGGGTCGTTTGCTGTGACTCGGTTTCTGCCTAGGTGCGATGAGTGGTAGTTGTGTAGTTTTTAGGGTGAACTCGATTTGTTTACACAGTTTGAAATTTGATAACTTGACCATGATTTACGAAATGTGGCCGGCTTGGTGGAGGTTTTGTTCTTGTCGATGGCTTTGCTGAACAAGTTTGGGGATACTGCGTATCTTGCCAGTGCATGTTAAAGGTAGAAACTTTGTAGGTAGATGCTGTGTAACTGACAAATGTAAATGAATTCAGGTTCTTAGCCTCCATAGTGTTTGAATGCACTGGTTAATCTAACAGCTAATGTTTTTATGCACTTGCCAAAATTCGCAATCATCTTAACTGCCAACACTCTTGTTCTTGATTCATTATCGTGCTTGGTTCCCCTTTTCTTGGTAGAATGACGGTGTGTCATCGAAATCATTTCGCAGGAGTTCCTTACATAAATTCTCTCCGATAGATGGGAAAGAGTTCTTCGACCTAGAGGAAGATATTCACATTCCTGATTCAGACGATGTGAGTTACAACCCTAACTCTCTAGTTTGGTCTCTCATGTTTTGCTCAATGCTATCTTCTAATATTGATTATCATTATAGGTATTTCATGTGTATATGGCAGGATCTGAAGGACCAGTTGTTTTCTGTCTTCATGGAGGTGGTTATTCTGGGTAAGTTAAATGCTTACAGTCATATTGGAGAATCTTACTACTGAATTTGTGATTATTTTCACTAGCAGTATGTTTTAAGTGTGATAAGTGCTTGAAACATTTTGTGCTAGAATTTCTCTGATGTGATTCCTGGTAGACAGTTTATTTGTGTGGAATCTCAGAGTTTTATGGTGAAGTTTGATTTTTGGATGCTGCTTTACAATCACTTGCTTTTTTCAGGCTTTCTTTTGCCCTATCAGCTGCTCAAATTAAAGAGAAAGCTCGGGTGGTTGCTATGGACATGAGAGGACATGGCAAGACATTCACAGAGAATGATCTTGATCTATCCATTGAGGTACTATTTTTTATTCTATGATATACTAATTTTCTCAAGTACTCCTTTTGCTGGCAACCCCATGGTTTTTTTAATCTTTGGAAAGTCTACATGAGCTTTTGGTGTGTCATTCATGAGTAGCATATTTCTCTTTCTGCAGACAATGTGCAATGACGTTATTGCTGTCCTGACTGCAATGTATGGAAGTTCTCCTCCAGCAATTATACTCGTTGGCCACAGGTTGTTGTTTACTGTTAAGATGATAGCCTAAATATTGAACCTTGGTTAGCTCGTGAAGAAAGCACCTTAAACTTTGTTGATGTCATTATGAATCAAAGTTCAGTTTGTGTATGTGTCTGTCTATTTCGGTTCATGTGGTGAAGAGAATGTATAAATAGAAAATGTAGACACGTGGCACATCTTGAAGAACATTGATGGAATGATGAGATTCATGATCCTTGCACTCCTGTAAGTTTGATTAGTAAGGATCGGTAATTTTGGTCAACGAAGATAGTAATTTTAGTGACTGGTGCTCCGTTTAGGGTTCCAATTGAAATCTCTGATATTGGCCGATCGTTCGTTGTGAATCATAGATGAAGAAAGGTTTTCGACGACTTGAAGTAGTATGTTCAGTTAGCATTATAAAAAAAGTAAATCAACTTGTGGTATTAACTTCTCTTTCCTCCATTCGTACTTCTGACATACAGCATGGGTGGTTCTGTTGCTGTCCATGTTGCTGCAAAGAAGGCGATTCCTAGCTTGGCTGGCCTGGTTGTGGTTGACGTTGTAGAGGTTAGGTTTTCTTAGAGTAAATTTTTTGCTGTACGTTTGTTCCAATCTTTGTGGGTTGATGATAAATTTGATGCCTGTGTTGCCAGGGAACTGCAATGGCTTCACTAATGCACATGCAGAAGATCCTATCAAGCAGGATTCAGCATTTTCAAAGCATAGAAAAAGCAGTATGTGCTCTTTTCTTTTTGGAAACTGATCATTTGATAAATTCAGTGCCCATTTCATATCATGAGTTGTTTCATGCATGTTTCCTTGCTGTTGCTACCTACAACTCAGTTTTCTTGAACCCAGGCCATGATAAAAGAAAACTTAGATTTCTTGGTAATTCTAATGAATCTAAAATCGATGTTTTCTTACAGATAGAATGGAGTGTCAAAGGAGGTTCCTTACGGAATATTGACTCTGCTCGAGTATCTGTTCCTACAACATTGAAGTATGATGATGCCAGGAAATGGTACGTATTCTTTGCCAAGCATGTAAAACTGTTGAATGGGAAATCATTTGTTGTGTATTACTAAATGGGATTTAATTTTCCAGTCATTTTGGAATCAGGGAGGAACTTTGTAGTCCTTGACATACTTGTGTTGTATTCTGCAGCTATGTTTATCGAGCACGGCTGGAGGAAACTGAACAATACTGGAGAGGATGGTTAGTTTGTTACTAGCACACTGTTAACACTGCACATTGCATTCTTCAATGCTTGTTTGTCAAATGACCTGTGCAGTGGTTCCTTGCATGCAATTTAGTCTACAATTTTTTCGTTAAACATGACATTGGATTGTCTTTAGAATAAAAGCTAGTTGGATGGGATATGGAGACAAGAGTCTAGCTTCATACTGTGGCTCACATGTTTTCTGGTGGTGTCCATAGGAGACATCAGTCCATTCATTTCTGTAACTAGATGGCCCTTGATGTCCATGTTAGGGTGTGGAAAGCCTTGGGTCATCTTTAAGCCTGCTCATTCTAGTCGAAAACAGTCTCCTGGTTATATGCTTCAATGGTGGTTAACCAGAAGATGGTAGTTACTCTTTTAGATTGAGATGGAATCAGTACATCTGTCTGTTCCAGCTTTCATTGGCGCTAACACCCCCCCTTTGAAATGAAAAGATAGCTGTTATTTAGAGTCGATCAATGCTATGATATTCTGACCCAGCTCTTACCCCATAACATTCTGGAGATTCTCTCCTTTTCTAGTCTTCTTTTCCCTCCTTTAGGTAATAAGATATATAACCACATATATTTTGCAGGTATGAAGGCCTCTCTGAAAAGTTCTTGTCATCCCCGGTTCCAAAGCTCTTGCTTTTGGCTGGAACAGACAGATTAGACAGGTTTTTCTTCTGAACTTCTCTCGTCTACTATGTCATATGTTAAGAATTATCCCTAGTCTCTTGATCTTAGCCAAAAGGCTGAAAATTGTATAAGAATTATCCCTGGTCTCAGGGTTGCCATTAGGATTTATCAGCTTAGTGGAAAACTAGTGTGAAGCAAGTGCATGCTTCATGTGATTATCGAATTCAGCAAGGTCTTGATGCTTCTTTTATTATGCAACAGGGCTCTCACAATAGGCCAAATGCAAGGGAAGTTCCAAATGGTGGTTGTCAGACACACTGGCCATGCTATTCAGGTTCAGTCGGCTAAAAATCTACACGCATCTGATGACTACCCAAAATCTGCACGCACAAGTTTTCACTAACTCGACGAAATCTTTGTCGTTGCAGGAGGATGTTCCGGATGAGTTCTCGACGTTGATTGCTAATTTCATATCTCGCAACCGCATAGGCCCTAACGGAGTCGAGGTCAGTGTCATTCCTTATTATGTTGCACCAACTCTCATATCAAACCACAATAACTCTCTTGTGGCTGCTCTAATACGCCTGGTTATCCATGTTTTCCCTTGCAGATACCGGTGCTTCGTCGGCCGAGCACTCAGTCGCAAAAGTAGTCTGCCCTTATTGTGGTGGTTGATGTCTTCTTTGCTGACTATGCCGTTTCCATTTGTTCTCGTAATTGACATTGGATAACTTAACAATTAACATGTTTGCATGGATGTCTGTAAGGAAGGCTCGAGTAAATATGACTGTAAAACAGAATGTATTTCGAGGAAGAAACTCTTCGGTTCTGTTCGGATTAGGCCTCTCTGCCTTTCAGTCTGCGCTTTACATTGGCCTGGCTCATGAGTGAACTATCTAGTATTAAACCATATGTAATGAGGGCAACGTATAACAAAGCAAGAAGCTAGCGTAGCTTCACAGCCAAGCTATGTTTATTTGAGAAGAGAAGTGGGGAGGTAACGGCCATACTTCTCTCTCTCTCTCTCTCTCTCTCTTAGTGCCTCTTTTCCTTTTTGATTATATTCGAAGGTTCCGAGGTCCATTAGTGGAGAGAGGGCTCTTAGCCAGCCACCAAGTCACCAACCCTAGATGGAGTGGAAGAATAAGCAATAATAAAGAAGAGGAAAAAACTCAAAAAAGGGCCAGCTGATTTCAAGCTTACTGAATGAGGATACAGTTACAGTGAACTGTGAACCCAGCTAAGCATACAAGATGTAACATATAATATGAGACCTAAATCTGTCTTCTCCCTCTTCCCTGAGCTCCGCCGGATGCCCAAATCCGACCACCGGAATCATCTCCGGATACCACCCACCAATAATAGACTCTGGATTTCGTCTTTACGTAGTGTAGCCAAAGTAAAGAAGCAGGGATGAGGAGATTCACATAACATACGGCTCTATGACTGGGAAAAAATCCCAAAATACCCTACCTATTAAAAAAAATTCCTCAAATACAAGACTTATAAAAAAATTTCCCAAAATACAGCAGTTTCACCATCACTGTCATTGTCCAAGACAGTGATGGTGTTCACCGTTTTGGTTCAAAACGGTGATAGTATCACCGCTTTAAACAACAACAGTGATGCTATCACCGTTTTTGTCCAAAACGGTGAAGCTATCATCGCCTTCAACCAAAGCGGTGATCGATTGACCGTTGATAAGAACAACGGTGAAGGTTTATCACCGTTGAGATCAAAAACGGTGAAGTTGGCGCGGATCGCTGACGTGGCGAGGAGCGGGGACTTCACCGCGTAAGACGAAAGCGGTGATAGCCCCGCCCCGCCACGTCAGCGATCCGCGCCATCCGCGCCCTTCACCGCTGCCGTTCGATGCGGTGAGGCGCGGATTGTGGTTTTTCTCCACGATCCGACGCCTCACCACGTCAGCCATCCGCCCATCACCGCCTTTGACTGGAGCGGTGTTGTCACTGCAGGCGAGGAAAGCGGTGATTGGCCGCCATTAATTTCCAGCGTCCCCTTCCCCTCCCTTCCCCCCCTATAAATACCACTCCCCCCCCTCATTCCAAATCACACCACCAAATTTTATACTTCTTTCTCCCTCCAACTTCACTCTAGTTTCGTTCTAAGTATGCTCTGTGGTTGCGGCTAAGTCCGATCTTCCGCATCAGAAAGAATTACTAGAGTTTTGGTTTTTTGTCGATACTCTCGCTAGCTTTTCGGCAAAAAATGGACGAAGAGGCTTTGAGAGTACGTAAATTTATTTAATTCTTTTGTGATTTTTTTTTACATGGGTGCGAAAATTTAAATTGATTTGATTTCATATTTTTTTATAGATGGGTGCTGAGATATACGACCCTAGATTGTATATCGATCCTGGCCCAAGGGATCGAAGGTATTTAACCGGGCAAGATCAACATCGCTCTCGTTCAATTTGGAACAATAATCCGGTAGACACACTAAAATTATTTCAATAGTTTTAAAGTTTTTATTTTGCTTTCTAAGTTTTTATTTTGCTTTCTATTGACTGACAATATTGTGTTTTTTGTTTTGTAGGAATCACTTAGTACATTATGGATACAAAAACAAAACAAACCCATAATAAAATGCAACTAATTGATCTATTATGAGAAAACTAAACAAATTAATCTAATTCAGTACTAACTAACTAACATCTAGCATATCATAATTAATCTAAATATATCATAACATCTTTTCCAATAACTGCGATTCACTAAATACAGACATATTCATACTAACAGCTCAACATGTAAAAAATACATACTTATAACATACTCAATCCCGATCTATCATGAGAAAACTAAACAAATTAATCTAAATTCAGTACTAACTAACTAACATCTATCATATCATAATTAATCTATATATATAAACAAATTAATGTAAACAATACGTAATTCTAACATACCGAATCCCGACGAGTTTCTTGAGCAGTAAACCAACTCCAAACCAGCTGAGAAACCGACTAAAAAAAAAGGTTTGTTGTATTTGGTTGCTGTAAGGCAGCAGCAGGAAGGGAGTGGGCTTCGGTATATATAGGAAAAAATGGCTGCTAATCACCGCTTTGGACTTCGGCGGTGAACACATCATCGCTGTTGTCCAAAGCGGTGATAGCTAGGTCGCTGTGACCTAATTTTCCACCTACCAGGGTAGAAAAACGTGGTCAATTATCCCCGCTTTTCTCCACCGCGATGCTATCACCGTTTCACATAAACGCGGTGAAGAGATAAATTACCCTTTGGAGTCTGCCAAAAATGGACCCGGAAGAAATCCGCCCAAATTGGCCCTGGATGGACTTAATCGTCGTTGCAGAATAGCCTCAGGCCGAAGCCACCATCTTAATCCTTCAAAATCCAAAGAAAATGGCCTTTGGAAAAAAATTGCTCAAATAATTACGAAAATGCCATCCCAAAATATATTGGCCCAATTCGGTGCTTACTTGACTTAATCATCGGCGCAGAATAGGATCAAGACACTTTATTATCGGTGGAAAATAGCCTCGAGCCGAATCCATGATCTGTAGCCTCCAAAATCGAAAGAAAATGGCATTTCGAAAAAATCGTCCGAAATCTGTAATGGTACCCCTTTGGAGTCTGCCAAAAATGGACCCGGAAGAAATCCGCCCAAATTGGCCCTGGATGGAATTAATCGTCGTTTAAGAATAGCCTCAGGCCGAATCCACCATCTTTATCCTTCAAAATCCAAGGAAAATGGCCTTTCGAAAAAAATTGCTCAAATAATTACGAAAATGCCATCCCAAAATATATTGGCCCAATTCGGTGCTTAATTGACTTAATCATCGGCGCAGAATAGGATCAATAGATTTTATTATCGGTGCATAATAGCCTCGAGCCGAATCCGTGATCTGTAGCCTCCAAAATCGAAAGAAAATGGCATTTCGAAAAAATCACCCGAAATCTGTGATGGTACCCCTTTGGAGTCTGCCAAAAATTGACTTGGAAGAAATCCGCCCAAATTGGCCCTGGATGGACTTAATCGTCGTTTAAGAATAGCCTCAGGCCGAATCCACCATCTTTATCCTTCAAAATCCAAGGAAAATGGACTTTCGAAAAAAATTGCTCAAATAATTACGAAAATGCCATCCCAAAATATATTGGCCCAATTCGGTGCTTAATTGACTTAATCATCGTCGCAGAATAGGATCAATAGACTTTATTATCGGTGGAGAATAGCCTCGAGCCGAATCCGTGATCTGTAGCCTCCAAAATTGAAAGAAAATGGCATTTCGAAAAAATCGCCCGAAATCTATGATGGTACGTACCCCTTTGGAGTCTGCCAAAAATGGACCCGGAAGAAATCCTCCCAAATTGGCCCTGGATGGACTTAATCGTCGTTTAAGAATAGCCTCAGGCCGAATCCACCATCTTTATCCTTCAATATCCAAGGAAAATGGCCTTTGGAAAAAAAATTGCTCAAATAATTACGAAAATGCCATCCCAAAATATATTGGCCCAATTCGGTGCTTAATTGACTTAATCATCGTCGCAGAATAGGATCAATATACTTTATTATCGGTGCATAATAGCCTCGAGCCGAATCCGTGATCTGTAGCCTCCAAAATCGAAAGAAAATGGCATTTCGAAAAAATCACCCGAAATCTGTGATGGTACCCCTTTGGAGTCTGCCAAAAATTGACTTGGAAGAAATCCGCCCAAATTGGCCCTGGATGGACTTAATCGTCGTTTAAGAATAGCCTCAGGCCGAATCCACCATCTTTATCCTTCAAAATCCAAGGAAAATGGACTTTCGAAAAAAATTGCTCAAATAATTACGAAAATGCCATCCCAAAATATATTGGCCCAATTCGGTGCTTAATTGACTTAATCATCGTCGCAGAATAGGATCAATAGACTTTATTATCAGTGGAGAATAGCCTCGAGCCGAATCCGTGATCTGTAGCCTCCAAAATTGAAAGAAAATGGCATTTCGAAAAAATCGCCCGAAATCTGTGATGGTACGTACCCCTTTGGAGTCTGCCAAAAATGGACCCGGAAGAAATCCTCCCAAATTGGCCCTGGATGGACTTAATCGTCGTTTAAGAATAGCCTCAGGCCGAATCCACCATCTTTATCCTTCAATATCCAAGGAAAATGGCCTTTGGAAAAAAAATTGCTCAAATAATTACGAAAATGCCATCCCAAAATATATTGGCCCAATTCGGTGCTTAATTGACTTAATCATCGTCGCAGAATAGGATCAATATACTTTATTATCGGTGCATAATAGCCTCGAGCCGAATCCGTGATCTGTAGCCTCCAAAATCGAAAGAAAATGGCATTTCGAAAAAATCGCCCGAAATCTGTGATGGTACCCCTTTGGAGTCTGCCAAAAATTGACCCGGAAGAAATCCGCCCAAATTGGCCCTGGATGGACTTAATCGTCGTTTAAGAATAGCCTCAGGCCGAATCCACCATCTTTATCCTTCAATATCCAAGGAAAATGGCCTTTCGAAAAAAATTGCTCAAATAATTACGAAAATGCCATCCCAAAATATAGTGACAATTCGGTGCTTGATTGACTTAATCATCGGCGCAGAATAGGATCAATAGACTTTATTATCGATGGAGAATAGCCTCGAGACTAATCCGTGATATGTAGCCTCCAAAATTGAAAGAAAATGACATTTCGGAAAAATCGCCCGAAATCTGTGATGGTACCCCTTTGGAGTCTGCCAAAAATGGACCCGGAAGAAATCCGCCCAAATTGGCCCTGGATGGAATTAATCGTCGTTGAAGAATAGCCTCAGGCCGAATCCACCATCTTTATCCTTCAAAATCCAAGGAAAATGGCCTTTCGAAAAAAATTGCTCAAATAATTACGAAAATGCCATCCCAAAATATATTGGCCCAATTCGGTGCTTAATTGACTTAATCATCGGCGCAGAATAGGATCAATAGATTTTATTATCGGTGCATAATAGCCTCGAACCGAATCCGTGATCTGTAGCCTCCAAAATCGAAAGAAAATGGCATTTCGAAAAAATCGTCCGAA